GTCGTTCTGGAACCCAATGATCGACACGAGGTTCAAGAGCCACACGCAGAGCGGGAAGACGGCGCCGCAGATACCGAGCGGACTCGTATACTGCCGCTCGAGGTGCGCAAACGAGAGCCGGAGGTAGATAAACCCGATGCACTGCGCAATGTAGGCGCAGAACGCACTGCAGATGCACACGGCGAAGAGCGAGTCGCCGATCGACGGCACGAAATACGTGACGAGGCACACGCCGTAGCCGACGCCGGACGTGAGAAGGAGCGCGGGGCCGTGCACGCGGTGCGGAAACCACGTGTGTAGAAAGAGGGGCGGGAGGAGCTGGGAGCCCGCGATCGCGATCGTGAGTTTGCCGTACGAATACATAAAGCCAAAGATGGTTGCAAACGTCGCGGGTAGTGACAAGAGTGTCGCGGCGTACATGGAGAGTCCCATGGCCATGAACCCTAGTACAGCAAATAGACAAGTCGCGTCAACACTAAAGGTGAGGCGAAGCGGGAATCGAACCGTTGTTGAAGGGCACAGTGGCCGTTGCGAGGGTCGTGACGCCCGGCGCTACAAACGACGACGTCGAGAGCACCGAGACGCCGAGGACAGAGAGCGTGAGAACGCAGAGCAGCTGCGCGCGCGGGATCTGCTGCCGCGGGTTGCACACGTCGTCGCTCGCCATATTGAGCGACTCGATGCCGACAAAGAACCACGCGGACTCGGGCATTTGCTTGAGCACTTGGCGGAATTCAAAGCGGTAGAGATCCTCGGAGGACGCATTGGCCGCCGGCGACGTCACGGCGAGCGACCCGAGGATGTACGCGGCAATGATGAGCAGCGCGAGAAACGCCAAGATCCGGTTGGCGCGCCAGAAGACCGCGCCACCCGCGAGGTGCAAGCCCAGCGCGGCGGCGTAAATGAGCAGCCAAAGGACCGGGCGCACCGGGCCCAGTGCTGGCAATACCATCGTGAGCATGTCGCCTAGCGTCAAGACCGACGACGCGACGTACGCAATGTACTCGAGCGTTTCGCAGCACCCAATCATAAACCCGAAGTAAAAGCCGAGCGAGCAGCGCGCAATGCCGTAGGCGCCGCCGGCAAACGGAAGCGCGCTTGAGATCTCGGCGAGGCATGACACCATGCAGCAGTACGCGACGCCCATGAGCAGCGTCGCGCCGAGGTAGCTGTAAAAGCCAGCGACAAGACCCGTGTTCCATGAGAAATATTGGCCGCCGACGACGATCGTGATGCCGAGCGCGTAAAGGTCGATGGTCGTTGGCTGCATCGGTGGCGAAACTGAAGTGCAACGGACGCACGGGAATGAACTGTGGCGGAGAACTTGGGCGTCTTCACAACAACATACTAGTATTCGCGAAGAGGTGATGCGATGACCCTTGGTGCGATCGCAAACTGGTTTCTCGCTGTGTCCCGAGCCACGACCACCAACGCTTCTCTCCTCACCGACCATGCCTCACGAGCGCATTAGAAGTCCACCACCTTTGTCGTTAGAGCTGCCAATACCTCTTTTCAACGACTAGGAGGTGATGATGGGTGACATCAGCGTTGGCTAACCTCCGACGCTTTCGTGGGTGGACGGTTGACGTCGTTACTGACGTGTACCATGCTGCAAACTCACACCGCACACTGGCGGTGACGGAGAACGAGTGGATGGGCGGTCTCGGTTGAGACATATCAAGGGTATATGAGCCTCGAGACGTATTTCACTTTGAGTTTGCCGAAACAAAAAAGTCAAAGTGAAAGAGGAGCAAAAAAGGGGTTCCGAAATCTCTCTATTGTCCAAATTGTGATAAAAATTACTAGGAGTATTCTTATTTTTTTCTGTCATTGAATTCGTCGTGGCAGGCAATATCGGACGTTATCGAGGATATGCATTGTCTCCTTTGCCGGTTCTACCATGTATCGTTTGTGTATTTCAGGTTAGTGGTCTGTGCATATCGTTGTAAGCGTGTTGGTTTGATTCGAGGCTTTGATTTGGTACTTGACGGCGCCACCCCGTCCTAGCAACCGGCGACTCGAATGACCCGACTTTTTGAGCTGTTTTTACTGCCCGACTTGGTCTGCGTCGCGCGCGACGCATTGTCTACGCACGTCGTCTACATAGCACTAATATATCGTCACCATAAGAACGTACAGTTGGCCACGTGTGCAACAAATAAGATCTTGCGCTCGTCGTCCGAGATGGTTTGGCGGTGCTTGGCATAGGCGTAGTAGTAGATGGTGAGGAGACACCAGAGAACGGCAAAGGCGCCAAACGCGACGCCGGGTGATGTCTGGAACCCAAGAATCGAAAGGATGTTGAGCTGCCAGACGCAAAAAGCAAAGACGGCGCCGGGCACCCCAAGAGGGCTCGTAAACGTCCGCTCGAGGTGATGAAAGCGTCGACGAAGATAGATATACCCATAGCACTGCGCGCTGTAGGCGCAAAAGCTGCTCAGCATGCACACGGAAAACAAGTGGGTGTTGACACTCGGTACAAAGTACGCTGCGAGGCAGACCATGTAGCTGAGGCTGCACCCGGTC